TTAATTAATTTTGGGGAGCTAATTTACTCCATCAAATCTTATCTGTAATTTCATGTAGTCCAAGACATTGTTACTGATATAAGTGAGATGTGAAAATTATAGGCATGAATCATAAATCTACTCATATATATATTCATATAAATCCAAGGTCTTCTTAGAGCTTATTTGTCTTATTAAGGCAACTGCTTAGTTTTTCTTAGTTTTAGATTCTGAGTGATTCTGTCACCATCTGTACAATCAGCCTTTATCTGAACACATATAAATCTTTGAAGCATACGTTTGGGTAATAAAAACTTGGAAACAATTCTAATAAGATTCATATATCCAATTAAGTATTGTTGTAGAATATGCTGTCAAAATGGTTTTCTGAGCCCAGGCTCATAACACCTCCTTGTGACTCTGTTTTGCTTCCTCGCACACTTTGCATAATTATGTGTGTTAAGAATTCTGAAAATATGTATAGATTTGTACAATTTAGAGATACATCTCCTACCCAGAAGTGAAAAAGTGTGAAGGACCTGTATTACTAAGGTTCTCAATCTACTTACGAACTCTAAAAGCTGACAAACTTTAGGTAAACAAACAAAGCGAAAATTCATAGCTATAAATGTAGATTTGACATTCTGTTTTAAAATATGCAATAGAGAGATAAATTTTGTATGCAATACTACAGATTGATCCAAAGGATTTCAAAATTGTTGAAAGATAAAATAGCCTTAGTATTAAAAGAATATCCTCAGTACAACATTCCACACAAAAAAGATGACTATTCTTTGGTTTTAAAATTATAGAATTATTAAGTAGAATGAACATTTTCTGGAAAATGGAAAACAAAACTACTTTTCCTTCCAAAGTAAACAGGTAAAAACGAGTTCCTTCCTCCAGTGTAATATGCTTTTGCTTTGAAGGCAAAGCAATCACAATTCTCTTAAAAATGAATTCATGAATGTAAGGAAGTTTCAAAAAGAAATCAGGTGTAACAAAATATGCACTTCAGTAATTGACTTCAATTTTGCTAGTTCTCCTGTGGATTGAGCATTCCAGTATTTGTATTTCATGTATTGTGAGGATGGATCTTCCATCTTTAATAGATTAGATTAACAAAATAGTGTATTCACTTTCTCGTCACCTCTCCAAGTCCACACTCTTTTGTTTATACAGTTTAGTGACTTGTGATAATTTGTCAATCTCACCTCTAGATACACTTACTTTACTTGTGTAATTTCTCCCGCTTGGTGTTCTGCACGTTCTCTTCAGAGCTAAGATGCACAGTAGTGGTACTATGGATTCACCATGCATTTTAATGCCACCATGCTGTGTTTAACTTTCACTTTTCATTAAGCATCAAAACTGTGAGAATTAAATGCCTGATTCTGATGTTTCAATAAAAAGTGACAGTTACATTTGGCAAAACAACAGCAAAAATAATAGAAAAATAGTATCTACTTTGACATTAGGGCTCTGAAATGGAGATGGGTAAAAAGCATTAAAAATAAATATCACAAGAATCATCACGATTCTTTGAGACCAGAGACATTTTATAAAACTAAAGAGAAGTTTGTTATGGTAAATGTTCTAGAAAGAAAAATATTCCAAAATATGTATTTATCATTTAAGTATTGAATTACATTTGAGACAGTTGGATTATAAAATATCATTTACCTTTGTGATAACTCTTATCTTTTTAAAAAGCAACTTCCGGTTCTTAGTTGCCTTACATACGAAGTATTTTCTTTCCACTCTGTCCTTCCTTACTAATGATTTTTCACTTGTTCCTTTTCCTTCACATATATTTCTCCCTCCTAATCTGTATACTTATCAGAAGTATTTTTATTTACAATTTCAGGTAGATTTACAGAGCAGAAAGTCTCTGACTCAATGTTTTAAACCATCAGTTACTAAAAAACAGATTTGGAGGGATGGAATATGAGTTGACGTTTTAGATCTGGTAATTTCCAGCCCTTAAAACAATGTGTATTGTATATATTATGAATGATTCTTATTTCTAGATTTTGGAAATCAGTCTTGTTGGTTTCTAAGCATTCCTTTAACAAATGCTGTAGTCTTTACTTTCTGATGGTCAATAATGTTTTTATATGTTCAGACAGTTATACATGTTCTTGGTTTTTAAGCACAGCAGTCTCATAAGATACCAGGACTTAAAAAACACTTTCCATAATACTTTTTATCTTTTATTAGAATTATCATGAGAATGAAATTCCCCGATAATTTGAGTCATTTGAGAGAAAACATTAAAATATTCATGTCAAGACAGAATTAGACATTGCTTTATACAGAAAGTATTTTAACTTGTCCAAAAAAATCAATGTGACCCATCTCAAGAGTCTATTCAGAGGATGGCTTGCTGTTACTAAATTTCTGAGTCTCAAGCTTTTATATTTTAGATTAGCTTTATGCAGCAGAATTATTTCTGGTATGATGTGTTTAAATTTGTTATTTTTTATATTACATTAATTATTTTCATGCATGCTAATAGTTTCCCTCAAGTTAACTATGTAAATATTTTCCATGTTTCTAAATTGT